TATATATATAATGGAGGCCATTTGAACCTAGTGGGATAGTTGCATTCATTCATATCATTGCATGCATACATGTAAATTGAGAAAAGCTAAATTAAAAAAAGTTTAGTTTTTCTCAATGATATGAATGAATGCAACTATCCGACTAGTAGGTTCAAATGCCTTCCATTGGGAGGCACTCGTGTGATCAATGTCATGGCCGTCGATCATCGATTGAACAGGATGACATTTTCAGACTCAAACCTTTGAAACGTTGTTTTGAGGCAACATAACAACATCGAAAGCAATACTTTTATAAATCACACACACACACACACACACACACATATATATATATGTGTGTGTATGTATGTATGTATGTATGTATGTATGTCGATAAAGAGTCCAAATGGTTCGTTAAAATACAAAATTCCCTGCAGGTGTTCCGACCGAGCTACTTTAAATTCAGACAGTCACTAAAACATTCCACAGCTTTGACCGTTTGGAACAGAACACGAATTAAACGTCCACTGTTCTTATTATATTAATTATGATAGTGTAAAATATGAGGGTATTAAAATTTCACTTATATCACTGAACCAAAAAGTTTATGGCAAATGAACTATGCTCCGTCGATTAAGAAATCCATTAAGGATATACCAACGACGTTTTCGCTTACATCTTTGAGCTAAATTATTAGATTTTTTTTAACAAAAATGGCCAAGCAAATTTATTGCCAGCTGTAATCAAGGATTTATTGGTCTCAAAAAATGACGCACATCGTTAATTTGAGCTTTCAGCGATGATTGAACATTAACTGGAGAACATAACAGGGACTATGCTGTCTGAACAGCTCTTTTTTCTCTCCCGTTGACAAATTGAATTATGTAATTTAAAATGGTGTTTGTAATTGTGATACATTATCGTGCCTTTCCGCATTAGGACTTTAGTAACAGCATGAAGAGGTGAGAGCAGGCGGACGGGTATAGTGTTACAGTGCGTGTGGACTATTTGTCTCTAGTGCAAAATAAATGCTTCCGCTGATAGCAATAAAATGTGAGATTTCTGTTCTTGAGTTTCTCTTACAGCGAACTCGATCTTGGGAGCAAAGAAACGTGGAAATGAAAGGGTTGAGTTTATCTGGCTGATTCTGGCATTTCAACTTTGGTAGGTATAGGCATAGTAACTAAAACATATAGGCCTATCAAATGTTAATTTTAGATCAACAAATATTAAATGGGTACAAACTGTTATGCGATGAAGACTGAAATAGTAATGTATGTGCACGTTATAGTGTAGTTCCCAAATTAGGCCTGACTTCATTATTAGACCTAGTCTAGTCTATTTCCCACTCAAGTCTATAACCACTAATTGACACATAAGATACATTTCCTTTGGTTTATTGCCTTAAGCGGGTGGATTACATATGGCCTGTACTAAAGACAAAAAATATACAACCACAACCAATAATAACAATGAGTTTTTATGTAGCTCTATCACATTTTTAAACGAACTGTTTTGATCGATTAAATTGTAAAATAAGTGGAGATTATTAATAATAAGGGTTAGATCAACCTTATTTTAATTATTATAAATAAAATAATATGAAATAAAAAAACTACTTGAAATGTCGAGAGAGATAAAGGGTCAGAAATATGGGCATATATGGTGGAATTTCCTTTTTTAACGTTTATTTTTCAATTTGAACAACCCAGTGTCCGTTTCAGTCTTACCGTGTGGTTTTTGCAAAGATACGTTGAGTTGTCGGTGTTTTGTTTGTTTTGTTTCAGCATGTGGATGTTTAAAGGATTCGATGAAAGACGGTAGGCCTACTTTTTTATTGTGTGCACCAGAAATCGCAGTAGTGTTATTTTACTCCAGACATAGTTCTAGAAATACTTAATATTAGTTCAAGAATTAACATTTATGTTTAGTTGTTAACACGTAGGCTGTTATAAAGTGACTCTCCCTATTTCGAACTATAAATTAATCTTGAAAATGTATGTGTAATATCTGTTTGCTCGGCTTGAAATGCATGCTTTAAAACGTTGTGTATTTTTCAAACACAGAGGGTAAAAGAAAGTTTGTGGCAACCCGCAATTTCACACATGCACACATGTTTTAGCTCGTGCGGGCAAGGTTGCGTGCAGAATGGTGCATAGTTAGAGAATCTAGTCGTCCTACATCTGTTCTCTGCAGTCCAAACGTTGCTGCTACACTTACAGACAGGTGACGCAGGCCTGGTGGGGGTGTGGCTCTTAATGTTTCTGGGCTCTTACTGGTTGAAACGTGCACAATGAATTGAACAAGGGCACCTCATCACACCCTGCTTGTCAAACGATGTAAATGACCACCAATGAGCTTTCTCATGCACTATCCCCAAAACACTTCCCGGTAATGGCGGGGGAAGTGTTAGCGCAAAAGGGACTGAGTGTCTTTTAGATTCCGTAATTAATAAGCGGACTAACCCTGACAGATAGATCAGCAACAGCAGCTGGAGCTTGGCATATTACTTCGAAAAGCGACATTACTTACAACCCAGCAAAACTTCAGACAAATGTGGCTGCCCAAACCACAACTGTGTCTAGCATGGCGATGTGGTTTGGAGCAGCTCGTGTTGCATCGTTAATAGTACATTTTGCTTCTGTCCTCAGGCCATCAAAGAAGACGGGGCATGTTGTATTTTCGATCCATGGAAGTGCATTGAAGTAGCAGCCAGCCATAGCATACTGAGTGAGGATTATGATTCACGGGATGCGTCGGGCTTGTGCTAGGATCCGATAGCTTTCCCTGTTTCTTGCAGGGATCAGATACTAGGCCATCAGACGTCGAGCCTATAGTCACTAATGCAGTGGCTGCTTATTTAGACTTCCCTATAAGACAGTATATTCAAGCGAACAAGATGGAGATGATATTAGTGTTATCAAAACGCCGGATGACAACTTTGAGAAAAAAGCAAAGAAAACGCAGCACGTTCGGGAAATATGTCAGACTTGACAGGGGTGCTAGATGCTAAGTGGCAAAGGTAAGGTAGCCTTATAGGTCTGGTCTTTAATATGCCTTTGATACCATTAATTTATTAGTCTACTAATATACTTCGAAGCCATTAATGTATTCATCTGGTGCAGAGACTAATGTATAATATAAATAGCTTGTTAATAATAAAATGGAATTGAATAAAAATCCAAATGAATTAATTGAATGGAAGTAATATATTTCCAGACATTTACTGACAGAATAATACTCATAAACAACATAAAGATAAAATGCTATACGATAGAATATGCATAGCTCAATAAAAACGTTCAGATAACGGTGTCGATCGAGTGAGGCGTTAAATAGCCTACTATCAATGTACATTGATTAATATAAAAAAACGCACGTATGCCAAAATATGCTTAAAAAAGGCGGTATGTCACTTTTGGTTAAAAAAAAACCGATACAGAAATATTTCGATATTCCTTTCCTAAATTTTCCTTTTCTATTCAGAATCTTGATCTGATGTTGTTTACTGTGTTTTATTTTGAAACTTGCAACAACTCCCACATTTTATTATGCAGACCATAAAACAAACGCTGTCCCATTTTTTTTTGTATACATTTTTTTTTTAATAGATGTGCTATAGACCTATCTTGTATACAGGAAACATACAAGGAGTGTTCAGTAAACTGGCTAACGGAAGACTTGCCGGAAGAAGCGCTGTCCTTACACCAAACAAAAAAAACTTAGAGCTGGAGAAGAAGTTCCTCTACAGTCTACAAGATGTACTTGACTCAGGAGCGCCGCCTAGAAATCAGCCGCAGTGTTCACCTGACCAACAGGCAAGTCAAAATATAGTTTCCCAAAAAAGCCGTATGACAATGGAGAAAATGACCCGGTGTTCTGACGATTTGTGCTACCTTGTCAGACTTTGCTACCTCCCATTAAAACAGTGGGTAGTACAATTCGACAACGAAAAATGCTACCTGTAAAATTATGGTTTATTAACGTCTACACCTACCACAACCCTAAACCTACCCTTACAATAATGCAAATACAGTAATTATGTGTTATATTCGCGGTTGTGGCTAGAAGGGATATAGCTATAGGAAACCAACAATAAATATTTTTTTCTACCTATTAGATTGTGTTTTATTAAAGTCTACACCTACCCTTACAGTAATGCAGATATATTATATATTGTTGTTCAGCATGAGAAAAAGGACGCAATATTGATGTGCGCATGCGCAGTAGGATAATCTGACGGGTATGATAAAATGTCAGGACACCTGTCAAAGATAATCTTCGAAGAATTCAACATTTTTATATATATATATATATATAACACACACACACACACACTTG